CGGCGAGGTTAGGGAGAGAAGAGAGGGAAGCGGGGAGGGTGCCAGAGAGTTGGTTGTGGGAGAATTGGATGGTGACGAGGGTTTTGATTCGGGACAAGAAATGGGGTATCTGGCCGGAGACGTTGGTGTGAGTGATGTAGAAATAATGGAGGTAGGTGAGTTTGGCGAAGGAGGGGGGGATGGGGCCAACGAGGTTGGGGATGGTGTCAAAGTTAAGGGTGTTCAAGTAGGGAAGGTTTCCGATGGAGGAGGGAATAGGGTAGGGTTTGGGGAGGTTAAGGTTGATGAGATGGAGTTCGTGGATGCGGTATGTTTTGGTGCGTGTGTCGCATGAGATACCTGACCATCTGTGGTTGCAGCAATCAGTTGTTGGGTGCCAAGAGGAGAGGGGGGTTGGGTTGCCAAGCTCTTTCTTGATTTGGAGTAGGGTTTGCTTGTCTTGTGGGTTGCATAGTTCTGAGAGTGCTCTAGTGAAGGATAGGGCTATCACCATGAGGATGCTAAAGCTTGTCATCTTTGCACGAACTTTGCTTCGGTGTTATTTGTGAGTGAAAAAACATGGACCGGGATTCTACATATATATAGGAATTGAAGTGTTTGCATTATCATCATGTCAAAATTTTGAGAGTGATTATTTCTGTTTGATACATTGGAGAGCGAGAATAGTTTCAACAAACATGCACACATCAAAACATTTTCTCTTAGATTAATTAATTTGTTAAAAACATGTCACAAATATATAATTATTTTATTTTTTAATTAAAATTAATTATGAGACTAAAAAAAATAAGGCGGAAAATTAACTTTTTGCTAATCAATTTCAAAATGTTAAAAAAAACAAAAATTTTCATATTTATTTATTATTTAATAATTATTTTCTCTCTTGTATCTGTTCCCCATCACTATACAACATAATCTTCATTATCATTATTTATATCACAAAGTCACAATTGCTAACCAATGATATTATTATATATCATTATCATTATTATTGATATTGTTATTGATACTATCATTATTAACCATTAATGCACCATCATCAACACATATAATAATTGTTGTTGTCATTATTATTATCATTATTATTATTACATTAAAATAATTTAATATAAATCGTATTAAGATATATAACTAGCTATTTTAAGGAGGGTGTTGGAATAAATTTTACATTTGTTTTGGTAAACCAAAATATTCCTTAGTCGAAAGATGCCCAATCTTTTAAAGTACTAAGATCTGTTTGAAAGGTTGACTCTCTTGACAAATGTTTTTCCATATACATTTTTATATCATAGACAAATTCTTGACCACATGCATAAGATATTTACCAATCATGAGACACCTTGGTGATAAATTTCACATCATTTTACTTTTTATGTTCATTTTCTATCATACAAAGCGCGTGATAAAATTAGCTTAAATATTTTTCATGTATTATTCAAAGACTCGACTCCTTTGGTGATGGAAAAAATAATCATCTTATCTAGATCATCTTTATCACCATCGAGCAAATCGGTCCCACGGATATGAGCTGAGTGGTTAAATTTTTCATCCCAGAAAGAAACTGCCTTACCGCGCTCGGTCCCACGGTCCACAGGGTCCCAATTTTCATCGACACACATACTCAACGTCCTCTCCGCAAATTGGACCTCCACATTCTCTTCGGTCTCTCCGACTCGGATTTCCATTTCCAAATTCACTAGCGTTATGGGTCTATCAGTCTCACGGCGACGTTTGTGAGAAGGGATTAGAATAGATAGGTGTACCTAAGGCTCACACCAACTTCTCCTACTCAAAACAAATGTCATAGGACTGTCATAGACCACAAGGAAGTAAAAAGTCGCCAGAGAAGAGGACGTGCAAAAAGGAAGGAAAAATGAATAGTGATATGTTGCAAAAAACCTATATTTATAGGAATGAAAGGCTGCGCGTGAAAATTAAGGCTAAAACATCACGTCGCACGTGAAACGTTACAACTTCTGACCCTGAGGGTCCCACAGTTTAACTTTATGTACACGTTATGCCACGTGGCAGTGAAATCATTCACCTCTCTACAACAGCGGCCTTACAATAAATGCGTGTCCCTTCTCTCATAATACGAAGAGACACCCCTTAATGTCTTTACGGTACCCACAAATAACAAACCTAACGATCACTAAAGCATTTTTGCCTTGTAATGCAATGTTGGAATAACCCCGAATTGATTTCATCAGGAAGACGTAATGTAGATCTGTCAAGGAAAGACCTCGCACCAATAAGAATGTGTCTCATCGTTACTTCACTGTATGGTTACTTAAGCCCTCTCGCCTTATAGGCTCAAGGCTGGAAGGCAAGTGTACCATCTCGGGTCCATTCCGAGATGAGTTTGCCTAGAGAATAATCGAGACCCCTAGCACGCATTGGAAAAATGTCGCGTTGTGTGATTGCTTAAGCCCTCTCGCCTTATAGGCTCAAGGATGGAAGGCAAGTGTACCATCTCAGGTCCATTCCGAGATGAGTTCGCCTAGAGGCACTACAAAAAAAATAGGTAATTACAGGCGGTTTTTTTTTTGCGGTTTCCATAAACCGCCAAAAAATGTTACATTTGTGGTAAGGATGGCAAGTGCTACAAATTATTGACACTTTCTGGCGGTTTTAAACCGCCGGAATGGTAATTGTTACAAGTGTTGCCACTTTTTGGCGGTTTTAAACCGCCAGAACGTTCAATAATTTTTTTTTAAAATTAAACTAAAATAAAACATTTTTAAGACGAAGTACGTAGGGGTATTTTGGGAAAAAAAATGAAAATGGAGGCAAATTGCATCGCTTTTGAAGGCGAAACTGAAGAAAACTAATTCGAAAAATTCGGTTTAGTTTTCTTCTTCCACTGAATCAAAATAATTTATATATTAAGTTATTAATTATATTTTAATTCACAAAATATATAAAAATTAATAGGCATATGTTTTAGTTAAATATATGTTCATGTGCAATGTAATTTTTTTAAGTGGGACAAGTATATATATGTACAAGGACAGGTCAAAGAGTAACATCCTTAAATATAAACTTGAACTTGATCAAAGTGAGTTTTTCCTATCAAAATCGGGTTGAAGTCAAACAAGTATTCAAATATTTAGATTCATTTATCTTGCCTACACTTAACACTTAGATCAATTGGCATGAGTTTATTTAGTGATTATGGGTTTTTAGTTTGTATAGTGATCGTGATGGAGTCCCTCCTTCCATGGTTGATGATAGTGTGATGAAGGGAGACACCTTGCCCATGATCTAGGCTCACCAAAGGGTAGACAAAAGGGAGGTTTATGGTGACAAGGGAAGCTAGGCGTGAAATGGTTGTAGGGTGGCGGAAGTGTATGGTGAATGGTGTATGAATGCTCAAGGTTGGCTCACTCCAAGTGTGGATGGAGGCCACTCTAGGGTTTCACTCTCCAAGGGTGGAGAATGAAGGAAGCTAGCCGAAACTAACCTAGTGACTAAGGATAGGATTTGAGGCACAAAAAGGCTCACTCAAATTCATATATTCCAAAGTATTTACAAGTGGTGGGGTGTTGGGTATTTATAGGAGGGGAGGCATCTAGGGTTTCATTTGGGACATGCATGGCCGAAATTCATAAGGCAAATGCACTCCAAAT